AATTTCAACAGCACAAATCTCTTTATTTGGTGAATTAGGAGGAAGGGATCCGGAGAGGATCCCTTTCCAAGAGAAACTATATATGTCAGTTAAAAGGGGAGTGATTATTACAATACCTATTTTATATATTGCACGTCAAATTTGACTTCAATCTATTTGTTCCCGAATAACGTGTTTAACTTGCCATTTTCAAGGGGTCAAATGTCTCTGCCCCATTTTCGTGCAGCTAGAAGTCGTCTGCTAAGAAGTTGGTGTTGAAAGTTTGCCCACAGAGCCACTCATTTGATGTAATAGCTTTTGGAATACTTATTGTGTTAAACTATTATATGTTTAATGAAGAGCAAAGCTTATTGTTAATCACTATTTATTGTATTATGTGTTTAAGCAATAAGGGAATCCAAGGAATGTATTTAATCTAAGAAAGAAGTGATCTAAGTAAGTTAGATTAACGAGACATTTCTCTTATGTTCATTCCTAAAACGTTTATAGTCATAGGATTGTTAATTGGGCATTGACAATCCACTAAGGTTGGTATGTGTTATGTTAATTCAAGCATGAGTATAACTAGTCTCAAGTCATTTATTGCATTGTAATTGTAACTAGATAGGTTCTCCAACCACTTCTACTTAGCTTAGATAGCCATGACACACTGCTAGGTGTCACTCATGGTTTGTGGAAGCCCTAAAGATTAGTAAACACTAATCTTCATCAAATGTAGAATTGAAATGTAATTCAATTCACAATTGATCATTAAGAGTAACAATCGTTTACTGCCTCACTAATTGGAACCTAATGGATTGTACACCGAGTAAGGATGAAAGTGAAGAAATATAAATGAGATGGATAAGCAATGAAATGGTTTAATTGAGAATAGTCAAGATTAATTAATTATACGAAAGGTTCATATTGGGCTTTCAAGTTAGTTTCGGGTCTCGGGGCCCAAAAGAGTTTTGGTCCACAAGGCCCATTATGTTTAAATTGTATGACAACTAAAACAAAATAGGAAATTAGCCCATTAACTAAAGGATGGCCGGTCATAAGGTGAGTGGTAGTGAACTTGGCATAATTGCAAGTTTTCCACTCAAATGTGAGGTGCTATAAAAGGAACTTTATAGCTTTACCACATTAGGTTTTTCTTTTGAGCCAAAAGAGCAAAACTCTTTCTCTATTTGTCTTCCAAAGAGCCACACTTAGAGAAAAATAACTAGCAATCTTCCTTCCTCTAAGTCATCCATTTCATCTTCACACCTCATCCTTGGTGTGGAGACTTAGGTCGCGTTTGGTACGCGGGACGGGACGGAACAGAGTGGGACGAAGCGTTCCGTCCCATGTTTGGTACGCCTAAAATGAGTGGAACGCACTGTTCCACGGAACAAGTTTTGGATGATTTTTTGTTCCACCTCCCCCCTGGAATGGGTTGTTCCACGTCTGTGGGACAGAAATTTCTAATATTTTTAGACAAAAATGCCCCTGGTCTTTTTCAAAATTTACAACTTCAAAATCAATTAACAAACCCTAAAAACTATTTCTCTTCTTCTCAGCCGTTTCTCTTCACCTCTGCATCCCTTTCCCCTTCGCAACCTTCCTCCTCATCTTCATCTGTGCTGTGCAGCCTCGCAACCTTCCTCCTTGTCCCCTTCGCAACCTTCCTGCTCATCTTCTTCTGTGCAGCCTCGCAACCTTCCTCCTCGTCCCCTTCGCAACCTTCCTCCTCGTCCTCTTCCGTGTAGCAGCTCTGCGAACTTGGTGGTCCTCAGGTATCTCTCTCTCTCTATCTCTCTCCTCTGTATTTTTGGGTAACTTAAATGTTTGAATTGGTGATCACAAAATCAAGATTTGTTTGTTAGTTACAGTATTAATAAGTGCCTGATTTCATTTGTAAACTATTTCTGTTTACAATAAATATGGATTGGTAATTATTGGATTTAAATGGATTCGTAGTTTTTGATGAGAGGAGTTGTTGAGGTTGTGTGAATGTTTGTTTTTCTGGGTTTTATGCTGCAGGGGGTTACAAACACGGAGAGGAGGAGAGGAAACATTAGTTTAGATTGTGATTTAAATTTTTTTTTTTTTTATATGTTCTTGGTGATATAAACTGTGTGAGTGCAGTTGTTTTACAATTATTTGCGTGTGGTTTTTTATAATTTTGCTTTTTTCCAGTTGGATTAAAATGGATTTTGAATTTTTGAGAAGAAATTAAAAGGGTCGTTGGAATTTTGGAAGCCTTTGTGTTTTTGGTGAACACGCAGACAATCTTGAAAATTTGTGTTAGAAGACTAATGTTGTATATAAAAATTGCAGCCATGTGGTAAAGAACAATGGTTCATTCTAAATGTCAATGGACTAATCCATGTGTTGACTGTGTTGAAAGGTACAAATTTTTTTGACATGTTTGGGTTTGATCTCATGTGGATTATTGGAAAAACAAAATGGTATTGCTCTGACAGATTGTTGGTCGCTTACAGGTCTGAAGACTAATATTACGAATCGTGATTCTAAATCAGCTCAAGATCGTTATTTATCTGTGAGTTTTGCATGTTTATTAGCTTATATGGTTTGGATCTTTTTTTTTTGTTGGATCGTTATTGTGCGTGTCTGATGCATTTTGTTTTCCAAATTCGGGAAACCGTCCCTTTCAGATTTTTGGATTTTCGATTCTGATTCTTGGAACTCTTTGTGCTAAAGGTATATAAATGTATTATTTGTTTTCTTTGTAGCTAAATTTTACTTTTTTTTTTGTTTTGTTTTGGTGATTTGGGACCTTTTTTGTGCATGTTTGGGTTGTTAATTGGTAATGCATGTTTTCTTGCTGATTTTTGTGCTAGCAATTTTATTTAAATCCACGGCTGCTTTTTTTCATTTGACTTGCTGTGATGGTTATGCTTGATTCATAAGATTTGAGGTAGTCGTGATAAAATTAGAATAGCTAAGTATCCTTATTCTAGGCAATAATATGATAGACTGGTTACCTTCTAAGCAATTTATCCCATATATACATATATAGTGTACTAAACCAAAGTATTATTTTAAGCAAAGTAATTTGCAGTCTGTTTTATGAATTCGACATCCTCTTATTGTTAACTTGGATATACAAAGCTGTTATGTGACAGACAATATAGAAATGCAACAATGAAAAAAGGTGGCACCTTCTTTTTGCATTCGGCTACTGAGATAGCCTCTTGTGGACAATTCGTCACTACCATCGAACGAGTCTTTAGCCTCATCAATTGGCTCAGTCTCTGTCCAGTCAGGAGGGGAGTGCCATCTCACAAAGTCTTCCAAAATACAACCAGGATTTGCAGCTTGCATATGATCAAAACTTAGTTAACTTGAACAGTTAACACACACCATTCAGTGAATCTATAAAATAAGTTCTCATTAGTGAAAACCTTGAAAGCATGCATGTCAGAGAGGAGTTGAGAACATCCAGCACCAACGCTGACCATAAAGATAAGGCAAATTGTCAAAAAATATACCTAGATTAATAAGGATAATAGCATGCAAGTTTATGGCGATTAATATGTATACGTACAGTTCTTCTAAAAATAAAAAAATGTATATGTACGGAGAACTAGGAAAATAAACAAGTCACTTTAAGCAAAATGCCAAAAGTTACTTGAAAATAAAATGTGACTAAGAATTAACTCAAATACAGACCTTCCTGTTCGAAGCACAAACTCCTCATTTTCTTTGATAAGATCTTCAGTAAGCAAAGGTACTTCCTACATATAATAATGTGCATATATGATATAATCTCAAATAATGTGGCACGTTAAAACAGTTTTCCTTGAAAGACAAGCTATTAAAACATACATGGGTCACAGGGGAGTACACAAGTTCACCAACACTTTTTTTGTGCATGTGCATGTTTGGGTTGTTAATTGGTAATGCATGTTTTCTTGCTGATTTTTGTGCTAGCAATTTTATTTAAATCCACAGCTGCTTTTTTTCATTTGACTTGCTGTGATGGTTATGCTTGATTCATAAGATTTGAGGTAGTCGTGATAAAATTAGAAGAGTGATATCTATGTTATTTTGGATTTGTGAGAGTGATATCTATGATCATATGGCTCAATGGTTTTAGGCTAAGAAAACAACGTCCATAAACATTATATATTATTACTTCCTTTTAATTTCAATGACTTACTTCATTAGTCTAAACCAAACCCTCCAAGTGAACTATTTTGCGTTGTATAGTTTGTTGGGCCTTGCTTTTTATTATACATTATATTATCATTATTACCAAGTCCAAGTATCTAAAATGAATTTAGCGTATGTTGATACTGCACTCATTCATGTGTTGTTTTTTTTGCATGTGAAGGTATGGATGAATATGAGACTCAATTCTTTGTTCTTTTGAACGTTTGGATTATAATGGCACAAGTCTTTACTATGAATGCACAATTGTTGAGGTATAGACAACAACAAAGGAGACAACGGGAAATAGCTAGTTTAGAGCAGAGGACATTTGTTAGACTTCATGTTAGGAGAGAGGAAATAAATCGTATCACGCGATTGAGTGATACTAACTGTTTGTGGGAGCTACGAATGGATAGGAATGCATTTGCAGTTTTATGTGATTTACTACAACCTCGTGGTGGATTGGTAGATGATGGTCATGTTACAATAGAGGAGCAAGTAGCTACTTTTGTTAACATATTAGCCCACCACAATAAAAATAGGTCAATGCAAGTTAGATTTTTTAGGTCTGGTGAAACTATTAGTCGATATGTCCGTAGAGTATTGCGTGCATTACTCAGTTTGGAAGATGTTTTGTTTGCAAAACCTACCCCTATCCCAGAGGATTACATGGAATCGAGATGGAAATGCTTTAAGGTAATAATCATAGTAAAATCATTAATAACATAATTATTTGTAATTGCTAATTAATATAAGTTTTTGTTTTGTCTAGGGTTGCTTAGGAGCGCTAGATGGAACATACATAGGGGTCACTGTGCCTGATGTCGATATACCAAGATATAGAAAAAGGAAGGGTCATATAGCAACTAATGTGTTAGGCGTATGCACACACGACCTCAAATTCGTATATGTGTTATCCGGTTGGAAAGGATCAGCTACTGATTCGAGAGTTCTTGGTGACGCTGTTACTAGAGCTAATGGCCTCAAGGTCCCAACTGGTAAGATAGACAAGCACCTAGTATTTTTCCTTACCTTTGTTGGCCAACAACTAAAATTTATTATCAACTAATATAGGTACATATTATTTGGTTGATTCCGGATATACGAATGGTGAGGGTTTTCTGGCACCATATAGAGGCACTAGATATCATTTGCAAGAGTGGGAAGACAATTCACGTGCACCTAGGAATCATGAAGAATATTTTAATATGAAACACTCACGTGCTAGGAATGTCATTGAGAGATGTTTTGGCCTCCTCAAACGACGTTAGGCTATCTTACGAAGTCCTTCCCACTATCCAATCAAGATTCAGGGACGAATGATCACCACATGTAATTTACTTCATAATTTTATCAGAATGTATATGGCAGTTGATCCTGAAGAAAATGCAAGGCTTGCATTTGATGAATTACCTATAGGGGAAGATTTACCAGAAGTATTAGCCTACATTGAAACCGTTGAGTCAAGCCAAATATGGACTCAATGGAGGGATGATCTTGCAAGAGAAATATATGATGAGTAGAGAGGAAGGAGGGCTTGAAAATTGGTTAACATGGTAGTTGTTGTAATTGTCCTTTAGATGTGGACTCAATGTAGTTGTTGTAATTGGCTTGAAAATTCGTAACATCAAGACTATTGAGATGTTTGTTATTGTAATATGGTAATTGGGAGTTATCTAGATGTTATGGCTTATTTGATATGTTTATTTGTGTTACTAAATTTTAATAAATTTTAAAATTAGGGTGTAGTCATTGTCATTTGATTTGGCTTATTTGATTTGGTAATTGATTAGTACAACTAATATAAATTTAGTCATTGTCATTATATCTATGTTTATTTGTGTTACTTATGTAATATATGGCTTCTTTGATAGATTATATGGCCACCTCACATAATTGGATTGATCATGAGGAGGATGTACTTCTTACCATCCTCGAGGAGATGGTTGTTGATGGTGTTAGGTGTGAGACCGGCAGTTTTAAGGCTGGTACTTTTGTAACGGTTGCCTCCAAGATGAGGGAACAGATTCCTGGCATTAATATAGAGCCGAAGAATATACAAAACAAATTGAAGCGTCTGAAAGAAAAGTATTCGTCTGCATATGACATGATGAATACATCTGGATTTGGTTGGGATGATGAGAAAAAATGTGTTGTTGTGGATAGTGATGAAATACTACAGGAGTGGGTGAAGGTAAATTTTTTTTTCTTATTCTTTATCAATTAGTTGCTTTGAAAGTCTTAACCTTGATTTCTTTGGGTTCTTATTGTAGAAACATCCCAATGCATCTTGCAAACCAAATAAGCCATTCCCGTTGTATCCACGGCTATGTACGGTGTTTGGGAGAGACCAAGCCACGGGTAGCATTGCTGAATCAGCAGCAGATGCAATTGAAAATATAGGTTTGGAAAGTGAGGATTGTGAGACTTCTGAGATACATCCACTTTCACCTACCCCATCTCCTTCTGTTGCTACATCTAGTGCTTCTCAACCTGTTAGGAAGAGGAAGAGAAGCAGGAATGATGGTGATGCAAATATTGTATCTGTTATCAGTGAAGGTTGGAATAAAGCTGTTATTGAAATGAAGAAATTAGGTGAAAGTTTTACTTTTAGAGAAGCAAATGCTAGACTACCTTCTGAGCTTCAGGCCATGGGTTGAAGGAAGATTTGTGAAAAACAAGTTCATTTGAGCAACATCAACAACATGCAATTAACAATTAAAAGGCGGAATCATGTTTATATGCACTCAAAAACAAAACTTAACCCATGAACTTCAAAGCCTAGTAGATAGGTGAACCAAGACTCAACTCAAAACAAAGTGAGTTGAGAAATCAATACCTTTGTGGATTCCTCTTTGCATAAGCAAAGGCTAATCACCCAAAGAGAGGGCCTTCATTCCTTGCATCTTAGATCCATGGATTTGGATGGATGAAAATGTTTCTCCAAGTTCCCAAAATTGAGAACCTCTAAGTCTCTACACCAAGGCATATTGAAGAAGAAATGAGTGACCTAGAGGAAGTAAGATTGCTAGATTTTCCCCTCTAGATTGGCCGGCCTCTTTGAGAGCAAAGGGAGGTTTGTGTTCTCATCTTTACTCCCAAGAAAACCCTAAGGATGAAATGGCTATAAAGATGTCTTTATACCACCTCACAATGGAGTGGCAAACTTGCAATTAAGCCAAGTTCACTACCCTCCTCTAAATGGCCGGCCTAAGGGGATTTATTGGGCTATTTGGGCCTTTGTGAATCATTATTCATTAAGTTGTCATACAACTTAAGTCAATGGACTTGACGTTCGAGCCCATTGGGCCTTAAGGTCCAAAACTATCCCGAGGTCTTTTAACGAACTTATTCGTTTGATTAATTAACATATTAATTAATCCTTGCCATAAATAATTAAACCATTTAATTATTCTTACTCATCTCCGTTGAATCTTCAATCTCTACCTTACACGGTGTGCGATCCATTAGGTTCCTTTTAGCGAGGCAGTGGGCGATTCAAAACTCTTTCAAATCGATTGTGAATTTAAACTTACTTTCAATTCTCCCTTTAGTGTTTATACACGTTTAGGGCTTCCACAAACCATGAGTGACACCTAGCAGCATATCATGGTTACCCAAGCTAATCAGAAGAGGTGGAGAACCTATTCAGTTTAGGATTACAAATGCAATACGGCCTTTCTCTAATACAATACTCTTGACCACATTGTTTGGTTTGATAGTTTATTCATGTCTACTATCCAATGTGAATCTTGTACTTATATGATTACCTTGAATGTGATCTGGAACGCATTCCAACATCTCATTCATACTCTGGCCAGAGATTCTAAATCATATCATAGAGTATTCTCCCTCAAACAGTTTGAAGGTTAGAGATCCCTTGTTGCGCATTCACTTGCCTCCATGGCTAAGTGGCTTAACCCCGACGATGCCGTGGACACCCTGATAGAGTGACTTTTGACATAATCAAAGATCAAGTACCTAACCACAAGACAGCTGTGATGCCTCAGGTCAAATGACTACTTTGCATTATCCCAACCATGAGTTCTCATGTGACATGAAATATATATGGACTATTCAAAATCATCGTAAGTCCATATAAATGGACTATTTTTGTCAACCAACCATTTTGTTCTAAACATAATAACAAACTTTCAAGAGTTGTTCAAGGCAACTCTCATTTCTTCATACAACAATTTGTAAGTGAAGAATCATGGCACATAAGGTGTCCATGCCCTTGTGCTTACTTCTCAAGTTCCTTGTTCGTGTAACAAAGAGACAAGCACTAAAGTTTGTGTTGATTAAGGGTTGTTCAAAGCAACTCTTATTTCTTCATACAACAATTTGTATTTGAAGAATTATGACATTAAAAGTGTTGTCCTTCTCATGTTAGACTTATCTAACATATTCTTCCAATGATACATTATCAATAGGAAGATTGTGAGGATGAGACTACTTAGTTACATCTACAAGTCATTAAAGACAATCTATGGGATTGTAAAACTAAGTCCGGAAATTAAAGCATTTGGATTTTCTTTGTCAAGTTTTGGATAGCGTTTGCAAATATATTGGTAAACAAATACATAACGAATATAAATTGATTGATTTTAAGCTATTTGATCCGGGTCTTTAAATCAAAATAGCACCACCCACTATTTTTAGCAAATTCCATATCCCTCATCGGAATTCGAGAGTTTTGGAGGAAACTCTTAGTAGGGTATGGGAGGCTCACTATTACCAAGCCCACCTCACGATGATACGATATCGGTTAGCAATAATAATAATGAGAGAGTACGCTTACTCATTTGCATCTCTTGCAAGTACCCATCTTATTTGGCCTCTAGAGAATGTTGCCTCACAATGATATGATATCGGCGCCATTGCACTTAGTTAAGTTATTCCCACCATGCTTAGTTCATGAAGGGGTTCAAGAATAGCCTCACAATGATATGATATTGGCCATCCTCGTTGCCTACACTCACCTCATCATATGCGTATAGACTCCTCCTGAGTGTAAGCATGCACTTTGTACTCCCCCATGATAGGGTGAAGCCGGTGTACAAGTCACAAACGATTGGAGCCTACCACAGGTGGAAGGCCACGAAGAGATATTCAAAGCATCTCTCGCTTATCAACTTAATATTGATTTGGTTGAGGGTTTTAGGTCTCATCACATAAATATTCATTTTAATCTAATTAAAACAATTTTGGTCCTATTACAACTATTGGTCCATTTGATTGATTTAGTTGTATATAATACTCCCACTAAGCTTTTAAAACGGTTTTTAAAGCAAGAGTATATGATACTACTAACATAAGGTTTGCATTCATTGATGGACTATATAGTTGCCTTAGGGCCTTAGGATAACTATGAACCTTTGATTAGATCCAACACGAGCCTTGTGTTGAATCTCGGTCTAGGGATGGTGATTGATTTTAGTTACGCGTTTAATCATATTAAGGCGTGTTGTCTTATTGGGCGTTGGACCCAACTACTCCAATTTCATGCATATCGAATAAAACAAGAAAGGAGTACTTCAAAGTAAATAAGAGCTTATGCTCTTTTACAACAATTGATCAAATCAAATTACAACCAAAATTTAATCTACACATTCCCATGGTTCAAACAAATTTGAAACGGCCATTCACATAGCTCAATTATCGTAGGCTAAGGTTCATAATCACCCTTTCTTTAATTAATTAACGCTTTAACTAATTAAACTTGAATGCAACATTTTCATTTGGTTTTTGTATCCATAGAATTGATTTAAATGGAGCTAAATGAAATGAAAATCCAATTCTCATTTAAAGAGACAAAACAATTTTGTTCTCTACCTAATTTGGGCCAAAATGCTATGACCTGAACTTGTTTGGGCCATAGTGCAATTAACCTCAACTTTTGGGCTATTTTGCAAAAACTTAAACTTTTGGGGTCACTTTGTAAAAACACAAAAGTCCACTACTTCATGTAATTACAACTAGAACCCAAAAATTTCCACAAAAGCTAAAACTTCATTAAAGGAGCAAAACAATTTGTTCTTTTAGTGATTTTGGACCTTTACGTAAAAACGTAAACTTTTGGGTCAAAGTACAAATACACAAAAGTATCAAAACTTTATGTAATTGCATAAAAGCCCCACAAGGACCCTAATTGAGTAGGGTGGCCGGCCATTGAAGCAAAGTGTATAAAAAAATTTCAAAGTTTTTGTAAGTGAGGTGTGTGAAATGGAATAAATCATTACACACCTACCCACTAAAATTTCTTTAATTTTTCAAAATAAATATCTAATATATTTAAACATAAGAAATATTTCAAAACAAAAACTTTATGAAATAAATCAAAACTTTGAATCAAAACACCAAACCTTTTATTCTTGGCAAGAACATATCAAGAACAATGAAGAACATCCATGAAAACCCATAAGAGCTCCATGAACATTCTTCACCCAAAAACAAACCAAAACCACTCAAACTTAAGGGAAATAACATACAACCATACTAGGGTACATAGGGGTTCCAAAAGTCACTTTAAAACACTTTTAACAAGTCAAACAAGAACCCAAAAATCCACCCTTTGGATTTGGCCGAATTTCCCCAAAAACATGGCACCAAATTTCAGCTCCAAAATTCATGCTCATATGAACTACATCTACAACATTTGAGATGGCAAATTTTCTAACAAAATTTACATTCAAAGAAGCAAGAATAAAGCTTGTAACAATTACAACATTCAAATCACAAACTATGAACTACAAAACCCAAAAGGATTCACCAACTACTAGACTTAGGCTCTTGATACCACTTGAAGGAAGATTTGTGAAAAACAAGTTCATTTGAGCAACATCAACAACATGCAATTAACAATTAAAAGGCAGAATCATGTTTATATGCACTCAAAAACAAAACTTAACCCATGAACTTCAAAGCCTAGTAGATAGGTGAACCAAGACTCAACTCAAAAGAAAGTGAGTTGAGAAATCAATACCTTTATAGATTCCTCTTTGCATAAGCAAAGGCTAATCACCCAAAGAGAGGGCCTTCATTCCTTGCATCTTAGATCCATGGATTTGGATGGATGAAAAGGTTTCTCCAAGTTCCCAAAATTGAGAACCTCTAAGTCTCTACACCAAGGCATATTGAAGAAGAAATGAGTGACCTAGAGGAAGTAAGATTGCTAGATTTTCCCCTCTAGATTGGCCGGCCTCTTTGAGAGCAAAGGGAGGTTTGTGTTCTCATCTTTACTCCCAAGAAAACCCTAAGGATGAAATGGCTATAAAGATGTCTTTATACCACCTCACAATGGAGTGGCAAACTTGCAATTAAGCCAAGTTCACTACCCTCCTCTAAATGGCCGGCCTAAGGGGATTTATTGGGCTATTTGGGCCTTTGTGAATCATTATTCATTAAGTTGTCATACAACTTAAGTCAATGGACTTGACGTTCGAAGCCCATTGGGCCTTAAGGTCTAAAACTATCCCGAGGTCTTTTAACGAACTTATTCTTTTGATTAATTAACATATTAATTAATCCTTACCATAAATAATTAAACCATTTAATTATTCTTACTCATCTCCGTTGAATCTTCAATCTCTACCTTACACGGTGTACGATCCATTAGGTTCCTTTTAGCGAGGCAGTGGGCGATTCAAAACTCTTTCAA